CTCCCCATCAAAATATAGCAGCAAAATTTCGTGGTGGTTCAGAGCTGGCCGCAACCCCAGTACCCACACAGCAACGCTCAGCACCGCTTCTATCTCTCCTCGTACTACTGAAACTTTTTTACAAAAACTCCGAGACAGGGAGAAGGGGAAACGCCACAAATAACAGAGACAGTGTGAAGATAAATAGATCTATACGCGGCACAGCAAGTATCCACTAAAGGACCCATAAGAGCATGCTCATACTCCTGCAAGGGAGCGGGGAGGACGAGGTAACGCACATATATATATATATATATATATATAATATACAGGATCGCCTTGCTATCCTCATCCCAAGCGAGAGCATGCAGAGAGAGAGAGAGAAGCTTAGCTTCTTGCTTTCTACTGAACAAAAAAAAAAGGGGGCGGGCTGGCCTGCTGCTTCGTTGCAGCTCCCAGTACACTGCAGCCCCCTACTCACCAAATTTCTGTGGTTACGTTGGCTTGCATGCAGCCGGCGGCACTGCGTGGAGCTGAGGCAGCCGCATGCAGCCGGCAGCAGAGACACCATCAAACAGTTGCTGCATGCGCTAAACCCTGTGTTTCACTTGTATTTATTCTCGGTGTTTCGGATGCAAGAGGGGCGCGGGGGTCCTCTTGTCTCCACCTCAGCAGCCCCTTTTCTCCGTGAAGGGGACTGGCACAGAAGGAGATATGTTCTCTGGTTATCGAGGGGGGCAGATGTAAGAGCTGCTACCAGCAGCAGGTGGATGCATGCGCAGCGGTAGGTTTTAGGGGGAGAGAGGGAGTGTTTAGACAGCTGTATACGGTGTCAGTGCATGCATCACGGACGGGGCTGCTGTATTCCCCCTGCATGTGGGGTTGCATGCAGGAAACATGTCAGCAGAAGAAGGGCTGCAACTCAGCCGCTGCTGCTGCTGCTGCTGCTGCTGCTGCTGCTGCCCCAGCAGCCCCCGGCCTGTATGCCGCTGGGCTCAGGAAGCCTGGAGACAGGAGGGGATATCTGTGGCTGTTTCAGCGGTATTCTATTACTACTTATACAAACTCTAAACCCTAAACCCTAAACCCTAAACCCTAAACCCTCTACGGTAGTTGTGGATTCGAAGATCCCGCTAATAGATGCAGAACAGTTGCTGCAGCACTCAGAGCCCGTAGCTGCCCATGACACCCTAAACCCTAAACCCTAAACCCTAAACCCTAGAGAGAGCCTGAGTCTCAGTTAAACCCTTGTGCGTTTTCTTCTCTGTCTCGCGGTGAAGGCGACAAGGCCTCGCAGCAGCAGCAGACAGAGAGAGACCCCTGAGTGTGTGTCTTTATACTCTCTTCTCTTGGAGCCTTTCTTGCTGCCTTCTGCTGCTGCTGCTGCTGTTGCTGCTGCTAGCAGGTGTCTGGCGCTGCAGCCCCGCAAGGGGGAAGCAGCAGCAGCANCGCTGTATCGGCGGCACGCTCTCTACCGCTGCTGCTGCTGCTGCTGCTGCTGCTGCTGCTGCTGCTGCTGCTGTTGCTACTACTTGAGTACTAAAGCTACTAATTATCCTTTAATATTCGGGCTTTACAGTTTAAATAAATTGCAAATTTATAAAAGGAAGGCATCTGAAAGCAGCAGTTGCTGCATGTTCCTGCGGCTGCTGCAGCAGCACCCCGTGCAGCAGCAGCAGCAGCAGCAGCAGCAGCAGCAGCAGCAGCAGCACGCGGGAGAGGGAGCCCCTGCTGCTGCCCCGTTGCTGCTGTGCTGTTATGCCTCACAGACAATTCCTCCTACATTCTGTTGCTGTGCTTGCTGCAAGCCGCCTTGTCTGTTGCTGCAGCGCATCCAGGTGCAGCAGGAGCAGCAGCAGCAGCAGCAGCAGCAGCGGCAGCAGCAGCAGCAGCAGCAGCGGCAGCAGCAGCAAAGCTTACTGTAGGCGCTCTTTCTTTGTTTCCTTTTAATCGGCTTTTGCAGCAAATATCCTCCTTGGCGCGAAGAGGCTCCTGAGGGTTTGAGGGCAGCAGCACCAGCAGCAGCAGCAGCAGCAGCAGCAGCAGCAGCTGCTGCGGCCGCAGCATAAGGAGCATTCGACGCTGCAGCAGCAGCAGCTGCTGCTGCTGCTGCAGCAACGCCCCCAACAATTTTTATCAATCTGTTTACAAACTATAAAGGCTCCTATCGTCTACTGGCTCCCCCCTTGTCCACCCCGGAGCAGCAGCAGCAGCAGCAGCAGCAGCAGCAGCAGCAGCGGCAGCAGCAGGAGCGGGCCTAGTTGGCATAAGGGGCCTCCTGTGATAAATCCTGGAGGCCTCGTGTGGTCTTTGTTTCGGAGTTTGTGCTGCGGCGCAGCAACAGCAGCAGCAACAACTTGCTGCTGCTGCTGCTGCTGCTGCTGCAGCACAAGGCTGACGCCGCAGCATGCAACCCCCAGCCGGCCGCTTTGCCCCCCGGGTGTCTAGACAGCGCGGAGCCGTTGCAGACAGTGGCATCGACGAGCAGGCTGCGTCTTCTCCTCACCATCCAGCAGCAGCAGCAGCTGCTGTTGCTGCTGCTGCTGCTGCTGCTGCTGCTGGCGGTGCAGCAGCAGGTCCTCTCCGTGTCTCGCGTCCTCGATCTGTAACGCGTGTTAATCCGTATACGGGGGCCCCCCAGGGGGCCCCCCTTGCGGAGGGTTTACCCCTGTGTCAGGTTGCTGCTGCTTCTGCTGCTGCGTCTGCTGCTGCTGCTTCTGCTGCTGCTGCTGCTGATTCAGCAGCTTACTGCTCCCCTCTCTATCAACTAGCATCCAAGCTAGGGGCTGAGGAGCTGCGTAGTTTGCTGCTGCTGCAGTGCAAGCTGCAGCAGCAGCAGACGCCGCCGGGTCCTCCCCCTGGTGCAGCAACATCTGGTGCTACTGGAGCAGCAGCAGCAGCAGCAGCAGCAGCAGCAGCAGCAGCAGCAGATGGTGACTCTATGGGTCGTCGTGTGCTGCGTTTGTTACCCTTTAAAGGCCGTAGCAGCTGGCGGGGTGTTGCAGATGAAGTAGAGAAGCTCGGGCCAGCAGCAGCAGCAGCAGCAGCAGCAGCAGCAGCAGCAGCAGCAGCAGGAGGTCTTCGCAGCAGCAGCAGCAGGAAGAGAAAAAGAGCAGCAGCAAGACTCGATAGACTTCATCTGCTGCGGTGTCTGCAGTGTGGACGTGTACATACAGCTGGCAGCAAGTTTGGTGATTACGTTTTATGTAATGCATGCGGTGCTTCTGACTTTGCTGTTGGGATGGAGATTGCTGCTGCTGCTGCTGCTGCTGCAGCACGAGACAGAGACAGCAGCGGCAGCGAATAGAAACACAAACCACACACACATACACACACTATTTATCTATACTCACCCTGCTGCTGCTGGACCTTATCTTATTTCCCCCAGCAGCAGCAGCAGCAGCAGCAGCANCAGCAGCAGCAGCAGCAGCAGCAGCAGTAGTAGCAGCTGATGCATGTTGTAATCATGTGTAGCAGCAGCTCTTTATTTTGTTAATCCCCTTTCTTCTTCTGCCTCTCCCGTTTGCTGCTGCCGCAGCAGCAGCAGCTGCAGCAGCAGCAGCAGCAGCAGCAGTAGGAGTTGCTGCTGCAGCAGCTGCTGCAGCACCAGCAGCTCTAGCAGCAGTTGCTGCGGCGCAGCTGGGGGTAGGGTCAGGGGCCGCTTGCTGCTGTGGCAGCAGCAGCAGCAGGTGCAGCATCAAACACGGCAGCAGCAGCAGCTGCTGCTGCTGCTGCTGAACTGCTTTTGCTGCAGCAGCAGCAGCAGCAGCTTCTGCTGCTGCTGCTGCTGCAGCTCTGTAAACTTAATTGGGCTCTTGCGGTAGCGGTGAATAGGGGGGCGTGTCAGTAGCAGCAGAAACCCTAAACCCTAAACCCTAAACCCTAAACCCTAGAAAGAGACAGAAACAAAGACAGATAGTTTATATAGGAGACAGCACAGCAGCAAACCCTTAGCTATACTGATGCAGCAGCAGCTGCTGCTGCTGCTGCCGCTGCAGCAGTTCAGAAGAAACACGTGCAGCATCAGCAGCAGCAGAAGCAGCAGCAGCTGAAGCAGGTTGTTACTTTTCGGTTTCTCCCCGATGCAGCAGCATTCTTTGTGCGCCAGCA